GAGGATGTCGGCTCTCCCAGTGAGTGGAGCTATCAGTCGCTGGGTTTCACCGCTCTGAGCCAGAACACAGACACCAAGCCAGCGGTGCTGTATCGGGACTTAAAGTGTGGACACGACAGGCGTGCTCGGGCAGCCACCTGGACACTAAACCGGAGGTCTATGCCAGATCAGTGACAGTGAGCGAGTTCAGAAAAGGGCCACGGAGCCGTCAGCGAGCACACTCCAGCACAGTGACTCACACTACCTTGAAACCACATGAAGAGATGCATTCATGCATGATTTGACAAAGTGACATAAACTGGGACGGCTGAATCCTTGGATGGACAAAAGGTTCTTTCCAAGCCGGCGGCAACTGTACTGCCAAGCTTGTTGCACTGTGACAAACAGCATCGAGGCATGCCATGACAGAATACCTGCATCTCTACAGCTACCTGGATGAAAGCCTCCACCGCGCAGCTCTACGCTCCAGCATAAAGGGATATCAGTGCCTTGGAGGTAAAATAAAAATTGGACAAATAGCCTATGAGCTACTATTACCACCAAGACGGCCCGTGGCATGCATAATGGAAGCTCTCTTCTGTTCGCTTGCTGAGCTGCCCTTGGATGAGGACAGTTAGCAGCACTGGTTCTGCAGCTAATCAGCCCCTCTAACGCCGGCCACCACCGTCTTTCAGCAGATAAATCACATGAAGGTAATTTGCGTCCCTGTAGGACATTTCCATTAAGAATTCAAACGACACAAATTGTATTTTTACAGTCCAAAAATGAGCAACAGCAAAAAATCCGACTAAAAATAGAAGACTGGAAAAACAAAAACCTCGTCAATCACGCTCGACTTGTCTTGTCTCTTCTCGCAAATGCAGATTTCATTTAGCAACTGCCAACCAGTATGTATATGAGGTCCCAAAGCAACTATAGGTTTCATTTAAAGTCTTGTATAAAGAGACGTTTCATGTCGACAACATCAAATGACAACCTCAGCTTCCATGTTTACTAATTAAACATCTGCGACTATCAGGAAAACATGTCTTTGCATTTGTTGTGTGGATAGTGGAGGCTTCAGAGGAGCGCCGTGCAGCCATTGACTCACCCAACAACGAGCCAAGACACCATGTTTACCCTGAATGCTGATGTGCAGCGTTGTTTAGCCTCCAAATCCACATCTGCACGACGGTGTGACTCCGTGTTAAGCAGTCAAAAGTTTTTTGTTTTTTTTTAAACCAGATGCAGGTGGTCACATTTAAACACTGCTGGAAACAACGAGATTTTACAAATAAATAGGTTATTTGTATGCTGTGTCGCTGAGCCTCTGGAACATTGGACGCGAACCAGCCACGAATTACGCCTTCCTACAACCACACAGCTACAATCAGCACATAATAGACACGCAGCTTATATGCATGAGTCTCTTCTGGCTCCAATTGGATTGTGGCGTTCTATCACGCAGTAATCTTTTCTAGCTAATACCAAAGCTTCTGAGGATGAAAAAAAAAAGGTCCTTTGCCAAAGTAAATTGAGCAGCAGTAAAACCGATGACAGTATTTAAATTTCTTGTATCATTTCTCTTCTCGCCGTTTGTCTCGTGGATCATTTAAAGCCACAGATAACGGCTAATGACAGCCTTGATTATGTGGCTGAAGGACACACAGAATGATGCTTGTGTTTACAACTGAGCGCTGAAGGCGGAGTCTGATTGTGGTGAAAAGCGCTGATTTATGGCTAGTTAGCAGATTTGCATTGTGCCAGATTTACCTTCTTCCCTCTTCTGTCCTTTGCGTTTTCTTTCCAGCATGTTCTGCAGCTGCCTTTACAAACTACATACTGTTAAATACAGACAGCTGGGACATACTATTCAGTCATAACATTGCATTGTAAGTTCCTGCTCACATACACGACTCCATAGTTTGAAAATGTCCTCCATCTCTGAGCTTTTTTGTACTAAACATGGTGACTAGCTGGCAAACTGCAACTAGCTGTAGCAGGGAATCCTTGTGTTTTATTTTTTTATGTATAATGCATTTCACATCCTGCGTAGTGGGACACAGCAAATCTTTTTCTGGCACACTACATAGCACGGTACTGTATGTAAGGGAACTCACCCTTTGCTTTTCATTTACAGAGCCACCGCTGTGTACAAACACCAGGTTTTTTCTCTCTCCAACGCCTACACAGAACATGAGGAGATATTCACTCAGTGTGGCGGCTGCAGGAAGAACAGATAACTGGTTTGGGATGATGTTACAGCGTGCAGGTTTTATTTCGCTTCTGGATGCATGTTCAGGAGGTCAGTTTTAATAAATAAGAGCCGTGCATTCACAAATAACCTCTTTACAATCAATTTCAACTGCAGCTTGATCTCTTTCCTGTTGATAAAATTTCCAATATCAAATTCACGAGCATGCAGCCGTATTCACTGGAAACCTGCTCCGGGGCAGCTCACCTGTGCACGTGGGGTAATTGCTTCACCCGCTGCCTTTATATTCGGGAAGCCAGTGCAGTTTTATTAGTAAAAACCATTTTATAAACTAAATGGGATGACAAACTACGAGGAAGTATGTCCCATGTGCTCCACAGACAGCCAGCGCTACTTAGAGAGCTCCGACGGAGTAATTAACACCAGATGATAAGTTCAATGCACGGCGTCGTGCTCGTGCTGCGACGCTAAAACAGCGAGCAATAGGAAACACACGGACAAGCGCGACCATTACTGCTATTATTTTTGCGTGACAGATTGAATAATAATATTGTGTTACGGCGTCCCCTCTGTTTTCAAGTGTGTTCTATGAATAAGGCCAGAAGAAGTTAACTAATTTAATTACTGTGGTTTCTGTGCATCCTCGTTTACTCGTTCTGTTCCGATAACGACATCACTCCTCAGACACGGCTAATACTTTGTGATTCTATGTGTAGAATAAATATTCCTGTTTTCTTTCTGACTAATTTGGTTATGGATGTTTGGATTTGGATTGGGATGGAGCGTACGGTGGTAGAGGCAGCTCTACGTCAGAGTTCAGTCACTCAGCTCTACTTCCTGCTTCGCTATCTCACACGGTTAGAGATTTTGGCTTTGCTGGCAGGCAGTCTGCTCCCAACCATAGACTGTATAAAAGATGGACGTAGCAACTGGCCCTGAAAAATGAAGCCAACCCGGAAGTGTCAAAAACCTGCAGCATCACTACGTCCGCTAGCTGCTGGCTCCAAAAAGCCCTGGCTCCCATAGACTGGAATTGGAAAAGAAGTGATCACAGATCAGGCAATACCACATTCCTACAGCTCAGGATTTTTTTCTTATTAGTTTTCAGAGTCAAATCCAGAGATCAGGTGGCCTATCTGAAAATAAAACAATACTGAATTTTTAAAAAATCCTCAACATTTTGCGGGGCAAGGGGCGTGGCTGGCTTGATTGACAGTCGGCAGCGACGATGCAGACGAAGCGAGCAGAAGGCAGTAAATGTGGGCGGGCAGAGAGGGCCTGCCTCTCAATCCGTCTGACCAATCGCTGCTCCTATGGCTCCGCCCTCCTCCGACAATTTTTGCGTCACTGGCTCAAAAATCCAAGATGTCAACCAGGAAGTAGCAAAACCCTGGCTTCATTTTCTCAGTGCAGAAACCAACGTCACGGTAGCTACGTCCATCTTTTATACGGTCTATGGTCCCAACGCCATGAAAACCACTTAATCAATGCATTCATAGAAACTCTAAGAGCAACAGTCCACACAAATACTGTTCTGCACAATCTTCTCTTTCTGTCAAACTTCTCCACACCTGGAAATGCCTAAAATGTAATTCCATATTTTTAACAGGAAGAGCCTCAGACTGATTCACGCGACATAACTCCAGTTCGTCCTGAGCACCACGCTCATGCTCAGGGGGAGAGCAGATGGGATGAAAGGGGGAAGCGTGGGCAAGAAGAAGGGTAATTTGGCACCTGCTGGCTATCTAATTACGCCAACCGGTTAAATATCAACAATCTTTCTCCAGAATCGCAGGCTTCACCTTTTAGCTGGTTGTCAGCAAATATTGAGACGTTTCTCTCAGATTAGGCAAAAAAATAAAAAATAAATCAATGTTAAACTGAACAGCTACAGCTCAGGAGAAAATGAAAGAAATCCTCAATATTTGTCAAGGTCAGCTCCAATAACAGGGATGGAGGGGGGCGCTGATAAAACTGAATTTTACACAGACGCACACAAACAGACGCTACATGCATTCATAGAGAGACGGCTGTGGGGCTGGAAGGCAGCTGCTGATGCAACTGGAAGGAGTGGACAGACTGAAGTAATGTGGAAAGTCTGCTTCAGACATCTTTCAGCCTGAAAAAAAACTTGTTCTTCCACCTACTGTGCAGCACCGTTTCAGAAATGTGCTGCAGTGCTGCAAACATCCGAGCTGTATTAGAGAAAAATAACCTCTTCTCATCATCCGGTGCGTTTGGTCAGAGTTTGCCTTGAAGCACAAGGATAACCCGAACAAACATGTTTTAACTACTGAATAATGGGAAAAAATGTATTACAAAAAAATAAATACAAAATCACTCCAAATCTACCAAGGTCGGCTGCTTTGTGGTGTAAATTACAACCTGCTGTGTTCTTTGCATGTTCGCTTCCTGTGTTTTAGGACAGGGAGGTGAATCAGGAGGGGGGACGATTCAACCTTTAACTTGAGATATTTTCAATTCTCTTCTTAAAGGTCATCTTATTGTGAAGGCTTTACCCTGCGTGTCGTTTTCTGAGCTACGCACGGTCAGCAGAGATGCCCGGCGAGCCTTTCAAGGAGGCGGATAAATAATTCAACGTTCGTCCGAGGCGAGTAAGATTTGAAAACGGGGGGTACTTTTCTGGCTACATAAAGTCTGTCCCCTGTAAAGTCATTCAGCATTCAGCTCGCTCATCAGGGGCTTTAACAGATATAGAAGCTGCCCATGAGTGGACACCAATAGGAAGAAGGCGTCCATCCACATCACAACTCCAACGCTACACCTTCAGCTCAAGCGTACGTACCCAGAGGTAGTAGGTGAACTGCAGGGCGAAGATGGCGATGCCCTCGTTGTCAAAGGAGCCGGCGACGGAGCGGGAGATGTAACCGGGAACGATGGCGATGAAGCAGGCCGCCAGCAGGCCCGCGCCCTGGTTCCACAGCTCCCGGGTCAGCAGGAAGGTGGAGATGGCGGTCAGCCCGCTGAACACCGGCGCCAGGAAGACGCACACGTCGCGGATGTGGACGGTGATGTGGAGCAAGTTGAGCACGTAGTGGATGAGGCCCGCCGTCACCATTAGCCCCGGGTACACCTGAGAGGATGGGAACGGACAGGGAGAGGTCGTGAGCAGCAGCAAACATAAAAGCAGGAGAGACTATGCAGCGGTCACGAGCAGCGAGTGGAAGGAAACAGGGCCGAGTTACTTTTATCCACCGATATGCCTCTGTCCGTCCACCACTTTGGTCTCTGTATGCATGGACGGGCTGGAGGACATTTTCTAAAAGCGTATACTCCAGAGCTTCAGGACTGATCATGTGCATTTTTGATATTCTGTCAGGACCAGAGATTGCTACACTAAGTATGTTATTCAGAAGTATACTTATGAAGCACAGGTTTGACTGTAATACCCTTCAGTCATCTCATGTCTGGTTTTTGGAAGAGACAGATTTATAAACTAAATGAGAAACACAGAAGATGAGGCAACAAAACAGCTGAAACCAACAACAAACATGGAGGCAGCAACCTCGCATTTAAACGGTAAATGTAAGCTAATTGTAAATAATACATTATAGGGAGATTTTCATGCAACACTAGGACCCCCACTGATGAGAATCACGTTTGTTTTCCATATTTTATATGTCTAGAGGATGTATCATAAGTAGTAAAGGACATGGTTGAATATTTGTGCCGTTCCAGATTCGGACAGCCATCGTTTCATTCATAACAAACCAAAGAAACCGACTCAGTCAACTCGCAGGACGGTGCTTTCTGTGTTGTTATTCATTTTTTTAGAATTGAAATTGAACATGTCTGAAATACTCTCGTACTACAACCTGCCATCATGTAGACCAGTGGTTCTCAAACAGTTTGAGCCTCGACCCCCAAAGATAGTTTGTGTTCGTGACCCCCAGTTTGAATGTTTCTCATGAGTAATAACTTTGTTGTTAATGCATTAATGTGTTAATTCCACCGATTCATCTTTTCACATTAACACGTCCCGACCCCCAGTTTGACAACCACTGATGTAGATTAGTTTCACAGAGTTTGAGATGCGGATGAGCTGGTGTGCTGGAGCTGCATGGAGAGGCAAGGAGTTCATAGGTCCACACATTTTAAGGGAGGCCATAGAGTCACATCGAAGCCGTTTTAAGGAAGAAGTCAATCATCTACTCAGAAAATAAGTTCTAAATTTGCTATTCTGACACAGAGGTGAGTTTTTAAGGAGGTAATCAACGCCTGGAGGGACGTTAAATGCTACTCCTGGTGAGTTTCTGTAACCATCAAGGTTCCCAGATTAATCGCTCCATCAAAGCTGTCCCGTGGATGTTGGTTACAGAAACATCCGTCACTGTACTCATCTCCTCCATATTAACCTGGACAGTGAACAGCACTGTAATGAACAAGTGAATCATCTCCTGAATGAGCCGCTGCTCTTTGTTAATGACATTGTTAACTGGATTTACAGATGAGAGTCCATCTGCTGCGTCGCTGCCGAGCACAGCGACCGTCTTGTCCGCTAACATCGTGATGGATGACACCCGTAACCATGGACACAAAGATGGCCACAAACAAAAAGCTGACAAGATGCGAGGCTAAAGATGTCGGACAAAATCTAGGCTGAAATAAAACACGTTCATCAAAAGACTAAAATCAACATCAGGTGCAGCAATCAGCCCTTAATCCGATTGCCTCGGCGTGGCTGTGGGTCAGCGGGGGGCTAACGTTCTCCATCATCAATCATTCCTGGGTGGAGAGACCGAACAGAGGTTTAATCGAGACCCTCTCCCTCCCCCTGGTGAGCGTCTCCCTTGTCATGGGAATTCTCCTCGTGTTTGCGAGAGTTGCTAATTCTCTAAAGAATTAAAGACGCGGTGTGGCGAATCAACAAATCTAATATGTTTATTTCCCGCGCTCGCTAATTAAGCAGCGCGTGCAAGAAGCCGGCTCTGCTGCGTATGTGCTCACACTAAGTCAATAACGAATTAATTCAAGAATGATTTTAAGTCGCCAGGAAAAGACTTTCAGGTTTCAAAGAGGCAACCTGGTGAACACACACACACCACTCCGTGCAGCTCTGGTGATCAGGCGTGTACACAACTGACCTGGTGTTATCAGATAGCAGCACACAACTGTCCAATGGGAATGAGATGGCAAATGGACCGGCCTCCAATTATGGGTCACTTGTACAGATTAGAAGTGATTATTCCTCAATATTGGCGAGGGAGGAAAGAAAAAACAATAACGACAACAACAAAGGGAATTCATGTCATCAGCAGTGGATGGGATCCCAACCAGCATCAGCACATCTGGTCCAATTAGATTCAATCGAGGATCAATCGTAATCACACTGGTGATCCTTAACTTTCCCTTTAGGGCCTTCGTCAGGTCAAAAATGGTTTACAACTGCTAAAACGTCTGGCATTAAAACACAAGGGTTGGGCCATATTGGTCACAAGTTTATCCCAATGTATTTGTAATGTATATATATCAGTTGATATTGATCGTTATTGATTATTTAGAATGATCTATTCAAAAAAAGATTCAGCAACAGAAAACACACCCACAAATACAAATAATAACACAAATAAAAATCGATACAATAAAGGATCAAAAGATTAAGAAATGAATCCTGTCCTCTTGATGCCTATTAGATAAAGAGAGCAGAGGCTAACCAGGGTGAAGCTGCCACACTACACTGAGGTTACGGTTCAGAGCAGCCGGCTAGAACCGGGTGTCGTCACCGGATGACAAACCCGTCAGCCCTCGGGTCTGGCTGCAGGGACTGGGTTTGTTAAGAGGCGGGGCACAAAGAGTTGTGGCTGTTATTTGACCGCAGAACTGTCTTGCAAGGGCAGAGGAGGTCTGCAGGCGGCTGCAGACTAGCACGCCTCAGGAGACCTGCAGCAGCTACATGGAGAGCAGTGAAGGGCAGCTGGGCTCCGTCACCCGGCAACAAGGTGGATGCATGACTGCAACTGAACTCTACATTTTCATTATGTGTTTTCATAGCATTTTAATGGCCAATGCATTGAAGTAAAATGATCAAACAATTCTCTTTTCTGATCCACAAAGTCTTTACATACGGTTAACATCTTATTAAACTGGTATGTACATCAGCACACTCCACCACAGAACCAGTACTTTACATTTGAAGCAGTGGCAAAGTATTTTTTAGAAATTAAATTTAGCTCATCCAGTTGTAACTGCCAATCACAAAGTTTAATTCAACTAAACCTATCATGCATTGATCAATAACCGTAAATTCCGGACTATTGAGGCACCTGAATATAAGCTCCACCCACTAACTTTAAACAGAAAACCAGGTGTGTACATATCCAGGCTGCACTGGTCTCTAAGCTGCAGGTGTCCACGTTGGAACATGAGAAATTTACACAGAAAGATGTTTTAACGTTTAATTAAATACGTAGCGGTAACATCCACAGATACGTACCGTAGATGCTTTTTTCTGAACAGCGCCTGTAACACAGCTGGTTAAGGAAATAAAACTACAGCAGCCTACCAGGAAAAGTCACTGATCGCTATCTTCATCTTCCTCCTGCACTAAAACCACTAAAGTCGTCTACTTCAGTGTCTTCAGGAGCTGAACAGCCTCAGAATCACTTCAGCTTCTCTGTCGTTGTCGCTCTCAACGTCACTTTGGTCTCGAGGCAAATTTGTAAAAATCCACAAATTATCCACATCGTTGTTTAAGCCGCAGTGTTCAAAGTGTGTGAAAAAAGTAGCTGCTTATAGTCGAGAATTTACGGTAGTCAGCAGGTCAAGACAACACTGAAAAACAGTGATTATAACCTTCCAAACCTAAAGACTACCTCTTGAACCATTTATCTGAACAACTGTCAAATCCCACACAAGTAAATCCTCACGTCTGTGGAACCAGCAAACGTTTGGCATCTACTTACATAAAGGAGGAATCTATCATTACGAATTGTTGCCGTGTTTGCCGTTTCTCAGCAGAAGGTTATAATTAAAAACAACAGAGCTGAAGCCGGGGCCTGAGTAGGCGATGACGCCTCGTGCCCCCGTCTCGTCTATAACATGAGAGCAGATCCAATTAGGGCCTGCTGCAGCACACTGAGGCTGTCTGAAGTAAAGAAAAAAAAAAGAAAACGCAGCGTTATGTTTAACGTGTGAGTGATCCCTAATGCGTACTCACTGTAGCTACAGTCTATACACTACCGCTAATAAACTCCGGTCTTCACATCTCTAATTAGCCGGCGCCTAGGAGACCTAAGCTTCACCAAACAATCTGCTTCAATGAAAATCAACCATGTCTGGCCTCTTGGCTCTGAGGATTGGACTCTGTCTAATGGAGTGGTATCCTGCCATTTACAGCGCTAGCCTTGTAATTATTAGCCGTCCTGAACTCTGTTCTGGGGCCGGGGTCCCTATAATGTTATTGATATGACTGCTGGTGTGGCTCGATGGAAATCTCTCAACGTTATTTATCGGCGCTGGTTTTTAAAATGCGAGATTATAGAATTTTCTCATTATGCAAATATCATCAACTGACAAAAGCTGTTACCAAAAATGCACTGGAGTCATTGTCCTTCCTGCCACAAAGGCTGGTTTATTGGCTTGACAGGCCGCTGTTGTTATAGACTGTCACATTAGAGGAGCCTTCCCTCCTTATCTATGGCTCGGGAGAAAGAGCAACTGACAGTCGTCCTCTGGGGAGCGGGGAAGGTGGGTGGGAGTGAAAAAAGGAAATAAATGGGGAGAGGGCAGCCGGACCGGTCCGAGCAGAAAGGCACTCAACTGTCACATTAACTGATATCGGCTCATCTGTCTCTCAAACGGTGTGACCCATCCGAGTGCTTAGAGACCTAATGCTATCATACACAATTAATGAGGACTGGGAGGGTCATCTGTCTGATTTTCAATTTTAAAAAAATGTTTAAAATGATGGGGATGAGGTGAGGATGAGGGGTTGAGCAAAGAATGGAGTGGATAATGTGAGAAAAGACAATGAGAGAAAGGCAAATAAGATATGATAAAAAATAAAGAAAGAGACAAACAGGTTGGACAGAAACCGCATGACAAGTGAAGTACAGGTGTTGAAAGGAGAGACGG